CGCGCGATTCCTTTTGGCTCCGCCGCCGGGGAGCTTTCCTATTGAACAATCGCGCGGTTCTTTTTTTTTTTTTTTGTTACTGCCGCTTCGCCGCGCGCCGCGAAAGCGTCGTATCCGTCATCGGCTTTCCGCAGAGACGGCGCCGATCTTTCGGTTCTGCTCTCGTCGGCGCTGAAGAAGGGGGAATTTCGCAGCACCTCGCGAAACGCTGGAAGAATGGAGCCCGCGTACGCGGAGAATGTGTAATTAAGGACGGTCGTTAGCCGGGTTTTGCGTGTGCAAACGAAAGCGCGGCAGAATTTTTATTTGCCGCTCATGAGTATTTCATGGGGTGTATGTTAGCCGGAAATCGATGTTTTTGATGCCCTCCGGGTTAGAGAGCGTGAGGAATAAATTGCTGTTATGAAGTATGTTTCTCGGAATCGATGAAATATCATTACTTTATTGGGCAAAATGCTTGAAATTACAAAGTAGTTTGTTTATGCGAACAATTTCAAACCGGTTGTTAAATCCAAGCAAAATATTCAAGAAATTTTTCGTGTAATTTATTTTGCTGCATAATTTAATCTAGTCGTGGAAATCCTACGCGAGGATATGGATACACTCGATTATGTAACTTATCGGTGTTGCGCAAATATGCTTCATTTAGTACGCAATAAAATTCTCTTTTAATAGTGAATAAAATATTTTTATATATTGTCCACTTAGAGTTTCGCATTCTTGATTCGATGGATTCGATCAATTACGCGTCGGACATGGTCGTAAAGTGCCGTCGTTCGTTTCTCGCACGCTCGCATTTATCGATCCCTTATCACTGTTCTTATGCATTGCGTGCCTGTACAATTGGTTGAGGTGTCATGGGCGTTGCAATATTGGCAAGATTATCGTTCCATTTTATTAAAACAAGCTTTATATCGGATTTAAATGTTTCATTTTATTTTATTACTGTCGGATATATATTTGTACAGATATTGACAGAAATTTTAAGCAAACTGTCATAAATTTCTAATAAAATAGTAACTGGAATAGTCTCTGGAATCTATGAAAGTAGATATTTTTAATAAGACTACATCTCGTAGTACTGCAAATAAACAGCGAGTCTGTTTGATACGCATATATCTATTTTATTAACTTAGAATATTTTACATATGAGGAAGGCGCTTGGCTAGATCGTTTTTTTTTTGTTTTTCTTTTAGATTGCAGTTTCCACCCAATCCACCCAATTCAAAATACCAATTCAAAAATCTAAAGCCGATAAAACTCTGCTCAATCCGATCGAACTTGTATGCGTTTTTGATCCATTAAAATTTTACGTGGTAACTTCCATCCATTGGTTACTTCCATCACGCTTGACGCATTCCGAATTGGACGGTATTATACATGTTGTCACATGTATGAATGTTACAGCAGTTTAATCGATCGATTAAACTGCTGTAACATTGTCGATTGGAGTCCACCTTTCAAAGCAATTTCTAGACTAGCCATGCAATATCTATTCCCATAGATTTATAAAATTGATCTAAAAAAAATTCATATCATTTATTTTCATTTCATCAAATTTGGAAAAGTATATAAAATGCATTATATATTTCGCATTGGAAAGTTTTTAACAAGTCGATAAATAGTTGCGGCTTACTGCTGACTCGCACTTTTTCTCTCTCAAGAAAAGAAAGTCGAGTTTATCTCTCGCATGATGCTGGTAATGCTGGGACCTGCTTGATACTTCTGACTAGTGTCGCAAGAGAGCAGTACAGGATCAACGTAGTACCTTCCTCGTTATCAAATCCTTGCATCCAGGACTTCCAGTGCGCTTTGCCTAGTAAGAATACCGCAGAGAACAGCCGAATTTGGCTGCGCCAAAATAGTTCAAGATATATTCGAGACTTTTTGGATTAACGAGAACTTTCTGCAGGAAAAGTTCTTGTCAAACTACGATCCCCCAGATCACCCTGAAATCCTTTGTATCTTCCGTAAAGATTTTTAAACTTATTGGATACGATTAAAGAGAGGCGTACAAGAGATTTACGAAGATAGTCGAGAAAGTCTACTAAATAAAGCTTTGAAACAGAAGACTGTTTCAAGTACAAAAATGTTCAAGGATCATCTTACTATTACTTTTAGCTTTTAAAGCTACGTGATCATCACTCTCACAATTATGAATTTCTTGGCACATGTGCAAATAAGCAAGAGATAATTTTTATGGACGAAAAATCTTTGAAAATTTTTTTTGAAAAATTTTACAAAAATTGTGAATATAAATGACGATACTTTTTCTTAAAAGAAAATGGCAAACTTTTTATAAATATTAAGATTGTTTTCTATAATTTTTGTTAAAAATAATGATTAATTACAGTTTTAGTCAAATTTATTTTATATAAACATTGCGTGTTATCATTCACTTTCATAGATCTTTATTTAGTCGCAACGATCAATAACTTTGTTTTGCGTTGCGCTTTCGTTTGCGAGATATTCTGCTTTTCAGTGTCGAAGAACGTGATACAAACTGCCTGCGATGGTCTAATGAAACGAAAATTAAGTCACGCCGTCAGGTGGCCCTAAATGCTATGTCGTGGCTAGATTGTACCGGACGAGGAGTTCGTTGTGCGCTTATGAAAGAGCATTGCTCCATTGTGCCACGAGGTTAATGAAGAAATTAGACCGAGTGGTTCCACCGCTGTGCACTTAGATCATTTTTTTCGCGGTTCTCGTCGCAAACGACTTTATTATGCTATCGGTGAAAAATAATGATTAGACCGCACCGACGTAGCTCGTCTGTATGTTCGCGTAATGAAAGTAGAGAAAATTTATTTCCTTTTTAATAACAAACAGAAAAAATATCCACGAATAAATATCTTGAACATCACGAATATTTTACGTCTCTTGTTTTGCTATCTGGGATGTTTCCACTTATAAGTATAGAAATAAGTAGGTACTTGTTTTGTATTTTAAATACAATGTTTCAACACATGTGACTTAATCATTTAATTTTTGTTGAATAAAATATAAGTTTGTATAATGTGAAATAAACATTAGGAGATTTAATTGAAAGATCTCATAAATGCATGTCAAGCACACATTCAACATAAATGTAAAGTGAGAATTAATAACGCTTCCTAAATTAAATATATATTGCAAATACTCATATTTATATCTCGATTAAAAAAATACTGTACTTTATGTACTGTTGAAAATTAAGATGTTTAGATAATTATTCCGATAATTTCTTTTATCATACATTTCACATTCTATCATATTTATTCATCATCTTATTTGAATATTATTAATTAAATCTTTAAAGAATTTGACAAAATTATTCAGGATTAATTATTGAATTATACAAAAGTAGCCGTTAGTGCGTAAAGAGTTTGTAAAGACACAGCAAAATTTTCGAGTTCCCTGTATATTTTACTCCCAATGTTCTCATTTCTGTTTCGAATCTCGTCGGCCACGTTACAACCACGTTTACACGGTTTTGTCGACTTCCTTTCGGAATGTTGCAATCCGGGAATAGTACGAAACGAATGTTACTTGTGTCCTGTGTGTGCCTTTGCGCGTCGCGCATACCAAAGCTTCGAAGTATGAATCTCACTTCGTCTGGTATTTCAGATTTGGCTCTCCTAAACTGAAGCATGTTCATGACTGTTAAATAATAAACAAATTTTAAAAAGATTTCAGTGCGATCAGATATTTGATAGATAAAGTTGGAAGATATATATTTTTTTACTAAACAAATAGTAGTACTGTAGTATCATATTATTTAGATTTTCTGAAAGGTAATTTGATTTGTTCTCGGTGTCGAAATAATTGAAAATGCTATATAAAAATATTATATTTTTTTACTTTTTATTAACATGTTAATCACAATGTAATTTCGTAAATATTGTTATGAATTATTATTATAATAATGAGCAATTTAGAATCATTAGCGATGTATAAATTGTGCAATTATTGTCGGTAATTTAGTTATTTTACTTCCTAGTAAATTATATTCATGTATGTAATGAATATACACGTATTATGAAAATAATTACATATATATGCTAGTTTAAATTAATGAAAGTTATTGAAGTAATTGGTTGTTTATTAGAGTAAATTTTTAATATTATAATTTTTGTATTAAAAATTTTCACGATTTTCTAGAGATTATTCAACATAAATGTAAAAGATAAGAGCGTTAAATAAATATTTTTATACATCTGCTCAAAAATGTGTACTCCAAAATTGATAATGTAAAACAAAATAAATTTTTGTATTCAATCAATAATCAATTATATAATCTGTATTATTTTTAGTAAATAACTGACAAAGCAATAAAAACTAATGAAAAGCAATCAACGTTAACCTTTAATAACAACTAAATAGATATTCGATTTAGATTTATTTCGTGCAAAAATAATTATTTATATCGCGGCGGAACTATAATAAATATTCATAGATAAATTTGATTCGAATTGCGGTACACAGAATCCTCTTCACTGTGAGAGCCAAACTTTTTTTATATGCCAGCTAAGTTGATTTCTCATTGTTTTAACACATTTATAATCATTGACGGATTTGTAAGAATCTTATTTGGAAGAAAAGACTATTCATATAATTCTTCATTTTCCCGCCAAACATACTTGACGTCATTCGTCGCCGCAGTATTCGCGACTATTCCACGAGTATGCGAGCTTGTGGATTCGAGAATGACCCTTCCACGATCAGCTCGCAGACAATACGTAAGGGAATGCAACCCAGTATGCAGACATAAATCAATAAATACGGTTAAAATTTATAATAAGTTTCTCGAGATTATAGTAAAATATGACGGAATCGAAATATTGTTGAATTAACTGCGTGAATTACACAGCTTTTCTGAACATTATGTGAATATTGTATGAAATAACTAATCTTGTTTTCCATTTCGTAACCACTGTCTTTCTCACTTATGTGAGAACCGACAATGCCTGCTGAAATAATATATTCTCATAGTCACGTGTTATATTTGTATGATTTTGCAGAGAGGTACGATTGGTTCTTCAGCCTGCGATACTGCAATTCAACTGGTGTCCCATAGAAACTAACTTTCGAGCGATTCGGTTGGGTTAAGCTAAGCGTAGCGCGGCTCGCCGTGACCGATTAGGATTACGTTCCAGAACCAAGCATTTTGGTTTTCGCCATTGCACGCGCAAATTCTTACGTACACACGCAGTAAGTAACTTTGTTTATTGATATTTCATAATTCAGCCACTCGATGATATTTTGAAGCTTGATAACTTTTATATGGTGTACCGAATCGTAAAATAATATTGCTTGTTCTACTTCCAAAATATTGACGTTACTACAAGATAAGAGATTAATGTTAGTTTTGTACTGTGTGCATTTGGAATATGTCTACTTTTTTATAAAACATTGATATAGCATTTCATAGTTTTTTAAAAGATATTGAAACATCTGTGTTTATTATTTAATCTTGTACTTTTAATTATAGAGAGATCCATTAAAAAAATTTATCAATAACTTTAATGAAAATGTATGACAAAAACTAAAAAAATTTAATGGCGAATCTGAAACTTTTAAATTAAACAGATTCTTTGAAACAATAAAAAATAAAATTATATCTACGCGTTCCTGAGCTTTTTTCTTAAAATTTATATTTATAACTCTAAAATACTAGAAATATGTTATACTATTTTCATCCACTTGCGCCTTTAATCTTCGGTTTTGACGCTACGCAGTCGAACGTTATGGGATATTTATGTCCGATCGTTAGTTCGTTTCGTTCTTACGCAGAACTTTGCGAGCCATTGCGAGCGCTATGAGTCTATATAACGCGAGAGAAAGATTGGTCAGCCGCCGTTAATGTTCCTTTTAACGTCGCGCTCGCAAAGCAACGGCCGTAGTTTAATGGCACAGTAAAGCCGTGACATCGCAAATTATAAATTGTCGCGCGGATTGTTTATCGGTGTCGCTGCACTGTACATCCGCTACCATTTCCGTTTCCGAGATCACGAAAGCCATTGCACTTGCAGCGGCAGTTTCCTTCGCCAATAATAGCCGCTACACCGGTCGTTCCGCGGGATCAAACGCGCAATCTGTTTTAACGTGTAATTATCTCATCTTTTGACGGGCGACTTTAAAACCGAGATTTCACATGCAACAACTTGATACGTTGAAGAAATATGGTCGTATTTTGTGCGTCGTGCATTTTTTAGATGTAAAAATAAATTATGAGGCTTATACTTCATGATGTTTCTTGACTTCTTGAAAAGTCTGAAAAATTTTATATTGATCTAAAGACATATTTTCCGATTTTCATTTTACACTCACGAAATATTAAAAAGATGGTCTTATTTTTTACATTGCATTTAATTTGCAAAAAGATTTATGAGACAATGTACAATAGCATTCTTGTAGAAAGTCACAGAACATTGGGGGAACACAATTGCACAAAATAAATAAGAAATAATATTATTGTTAAAATTATTATTGTTATTATTCAGTTAGCGTTCTATTCATATTACGTCTACTGAAATATGAGAGCGATATATTTTCTGCAATTTCGTATTTACTTGTGAAATTATCATTTAGTGAAATCACTAAAATTATTTAGTGTCCATTAACGTCAAAGCGCATACGTATCGCTTGCAATTTTCATCCGATATGATCGGCTCACCATGGCTGGCACTCTTTAGGATTTTCTGTGAGAATATATGATATCAAGTATGGCCAATTTCCATAACAGAGACGACGCATCGTGCTTTAGATATCGATTATTCGACTTTTCGAGAATACCTCCCTCAAGTAATATCGCCTGCCTAATAAAAGCGGAAGCGAATTTACGTTTATTTTTATCTTATACAATTTTAAAGCCTATCCCATAGCTTTCCGCCGTAATTGTTAATTGGAATCCTTCCCTAAGATTAGACTCTACGATCCTCACTTGCGATGAGGCGTTGAGTTCTTGTTATGCTTATAGTACATCCAATATCGCTTCGATGGAGGGTAATTATCTTTCGAAGAAAATTGAAGATAGAGCCTTTATTTGGTCGCGATAAAGCTTATAAACAAATTCTCTTGTGCTCTCTAATGATTTTCCATTGTATTTTTGATGTAAATGCTCAGTGCTTGTGAATTTCGTTTAATAATTTATGAAATTAAAATGAAGAGCATGCAATTACTAAAATGCAGAAATTTCAGATATTCTTATTGACGCAAAACAATGTTCTCATTGTCAATTTCGAGTTTTGTTCCGAAAATTAGATTGATATTTCGTCTATATTAAATTTGATGGATATCTCTCTCAATTTTGCATTATAAAAGAAGTTTATAGTTCTAATTATTTAAATAAATGTATTTTATAATTTCCGAATCTCTAAAAATTAAATTACATGTAACTTTCATTTTTCCAAGTCAGTTTTTTTCGCTAATTAATGAGATGCATTTACGCATTTTATGCGTAATTTTATTCGACATGTCTTTTTGTTTTTTATTTTGATAGCTGACTTTACTAGCAATTCTTTCGCGTACGATAAATGTGGAAAATCCATCATTGATATTTTCAGAGCTGCTTTGGTGCCTGCAGTAGCGATAGTTAAACGTTAAGTAATTTTTGCGTTTTCCATCTGGTGTCGTTATATATATTTTCATATCACGTAGCTACTCACATTTCTCCGTTATCAGTGGGAGAACACGGTAAGCCGGCCGAGTTAAGCGCGGAATTGCTGTGAGAGTTTATCTTAACACGGCATGTAAACGCTCGATATTCCCTCCCGCAGTTTCTCTCAGCGGCGAAACGAGCGTACAGGGACTCCTAGTAAATCCGAAAGTTTTCCATCACAGGATAAACTCTTTCGGGGAATTTCTCCCTCTTTCGCATTTTCGTTTTACCCTTCTTTAGCCCGCGTTCGCATAGAAGCCATTTAGAGATCGGCCAAGTTTGTCGAGTAATGCCGCTAATTACGAAAGAACGAAAGGAAAGTAAACCCGTTGGCGCTATTGCGGGAGCCATTAAGACCTGTTGATCTCCCAATGGATATCCGCTGACGATCAGGTGCTTCTCTCAGCGGATAGATGCGATCTCGATAAGATCGCGAGAGTAGCGGTGCATTTTCAAGTCAGAAAGGATTTTATCTTGAAAGTTTTGATGTAAAAACCAAGCGTTTTTATGTATTTTTAAACCGAGAAATGCGTTTACAGCTTTTGCTGAAGAAAATTTGATGCGATATCTCATAATTTATTATAAATAATTAACAATAGAATAATGTGATCTATTTAATATATAAAATATATTGGCCATAAAATTTTCATCTATTCTGGAACACACTGTGTATAAAGTATATAAAGCTTTTATTAGCGCTTGGAAATTTTAGGTAGTCGAACAGTTTGAATTAACTTCAGGTCTGAAAATTCAGAAATTATTATAATTTTAATAGAAAATATATAAAACTTATGAAATAATGTACATATATGAGCCAAACTCAGTTTAGAGATTAATTGGAATACGTTTAATATTTTTAAATTATATTAGAATATTTAGAAATTAAATAGTGTAAATACAATATTTTGTTGAATATTTTAAGTATTTTAAGATAATTTATTTTGTACGCATTATATTGCATAACAAAATGGTATACAAAATGCCGCGCGATTATTGTAGTGATAAACAATTAATATATCACAAGTAATAAATAATAAATAAATGATAAATTGCTTACTTTAAATTACTCCGTCAAAACCCGATATCTCACGGATGTTATCCTTTCTCTCAATAATCAATAATTGTTTGTTGGAAATAATTTTAAAATATTCGTCGTAATTGTGATGTAATAATAATACGAAGCGATTTTCCACTGTCGTTTACTCTAGCGCGTAAATAACGCGTATACACCATAACGTAGGTCACAAAAAATAAGAACACTCACCGAGTTGCGCGTTAAGGAATTTCGATGATTTCGTCGACATTGGTTGTTGTGTTTTCGTGATACAAGACACGGCGTACGCGCGCGCGTGTTGTCTGCGCGCTATCATTCTTGCTACCATTCGTACAACGGCAACCAAGAAGAGTACACGGTAGTGGGAAAACTTCACATTATTACAGTTTTAAATCGCGATTGTGACAAATATTTTAAAATTATTTTTGAAATAATTGTGCATTACTGAGAGGAGGAGTTCGAGGTACATCGAGTTTCGAAGTAATTTGAGGTAAGTAATTTAACATTTATTTATTATTTTTATTTGTAAGATATTAATTGTTTATCCCCCTGCAATGGGCACATGGCATTTCGCATCGTTGTATAATATATTGTTGTAACGAGTATATTTAAATAGAGACGACTTAATATCGTAGGAAGTATGCCATAAATAGATATTTATAAAATTTAATAATATTTAATATACACTCAAAAAAATGATCTTGCAATAATAGCTAAAATTTTCTAGGTGTAAAAAATTAACTAAAACAGATAAATGATTAGCAACTGTTGTGATATTGCATATGTAATTACTTAATCAGTTTAGATGACAGAAACAGAATATATATCTGTATTGTTTGTGAACTTTAAAAAGAAAGTTTCTCTAAAGCGCCTATCTATATAAAATTAATCACGTGTTAGATCATGCAATGAATAACATTTAGCAATGGTACCTAAATTTTTCAGAAGCTATTGCTAGAATATTACTGCTATAAATTCTATATGTGACAAACAATGTTTTCACAGATACGAAAAATAGCGATACATTCTTGTTGCGATATCTAGAAATCTAACTACATCAGCGAAATATTTTTTTGAGTGTATCTGTTGCTTTAGCTAGGCAACTACAAGAGTTTTTTTTTTAATATTATTAAATTGTATGATATATTTAATATTATACATTTGTGCCTTTTTAATCTCTCTCAATCACTTTTATATTCCTCTTATTTTTTCTTACAATTTGTTATAGTTTTTTATTGATTTTAATTGACTACAAATTTTTAACAAGAAAAATATTAGATAGGCGAGAGATATTTTTTAGAATATTTTGTAAGCCAATTTTTTATCCAAATGTGTAGAATCAAATCGATATTGACAACGTGATATTGACATCTGCGTAAAATTAAGCAAAAGCTTTATTTCCAATGCATACAATACATGGGTACATATTTTTACTTCAATTTTTTACTGTTCGAACTGCTCGAATTTTTAGACATTACACGTGGACGTTACAAATCG